TTTATTTATGTTACCTAAAAGTATCATTATATGCCTAGTGAAGCTATTCACAGGTAACACCTGTCGATGTTCTCTATGAAAGGTATTAGGAAAAGGATGCAGAAAGTTGCATTGCACCAGAAGAATGCCACAATCGAGCCGTTTTTAAGTAGAGAAAATATCACATTCGATAATTTTTTCCCATTTGCTAAAAAATGGGCATTGATTACCGGCCCACATTCTCGAAGAGCGTTTACTTCTGCGATTAGGCCTTATTTTTAGGTAAGCCTGCGAAATCGACCCAGGTGCTCACATGTCGAAAAACAAACTTTCCAAAAGAACACACTAAGCTGACAGCTACAATCAAGAACTCGCAACAATTTGCGATTTAGGTGACCATTAAATTCGCAGAGCGGCCAATTTTGTGGTTGACTATGAACACCATTAAACCCAAGAGGTTCTTTTGACATCGTATAAGATGCCTTTGGCGCAGAATGAATAGCCTAGCTTTATAGGATAAAGCTCCAATCTACGACAACTTTAATCTGACTTCTTGGACAACAGCCAACCTCCTCGCAAGCGGCCTCCAATTTTCTTTTATTCCTGCATACAGCCCGGATCACATTGAACAAACCACTATGGATACCGTTGCTATCTCCATGACTGGCAGACTTCACGCTGCCTTAAATGTACACAGACAGTTCATAAATTACCTATCTTTTGTATTTGTAATTATTCTGCATTAATATATCGTCTTTTTTGCGCTCCCCTTCCCTAATCACCTTTATATTTAACCTAAGATCAGTGATTTAGAATATAATAATTAGCTGGAGTTCGATTTTTTAGTGAAAATTAATTATTTTCATGTGAGTAGATGGTAATGTATCAAGCAACCTATGTCTCCTTTTTAAGAACGGTCATTTCTTTGCTGCTGTTAGACTTAGGCGGACGCAGCGTGAGCTGATGAGATTAAATGAGATAGGCAAGCGACTACAAAATACGGGACTGGTAGTATTAGGGGCTACATGGATAGGGCATATCAGGGGACACAAAAATAAATTTTAAAAAGAACGTATAAAAGCAATAAATAACAAGCGCATTTGTTTAAATAACCTAATGTATGGAAACGAAGAAAAGGACGATAATTAAAAAAATAAAAACGTAAGGATGAGCAAATTAAAGGCAAGTGAATAAACCACAGAGATAGAAATAAGAGCAGCCAATGCGAAGTACAACCAATAGGAAACAAGAACTGAACAAATAATGCCCGCGAATCGGCCACAATTAGTTGAGTGGCAATCGTATATCGATTTTTATTGAGCTTTCGAGGTTAGCATAAAACTACGAAAGATAGGCTTTGCCCAGTATTTTTAACTCACAATAGCTTATAATATATTTGGATAGATATTGTCGTACGCCAGGGCGAAGGGCAACGCCTGTCGAAAAACGTTCTGTTTGTGGGGTGCAGTGAAGTATATCGAAACTGGAAACCAAAACGGCCAAACGAATTTGGACATAGTACTTGACTGGCAATCCTATATCGATTCTTTGTAAAATTTTCGAGATACACATAAAATCATGACAGATAGGCTTTTTCAAGTTTCTTTACAACTCCCAGTAGCTTCTAATGCATTTACACGGATATTTAAGTAGGATAAGCCGAAAAGAAACCGCGTGTAGCTAAGGATTTCCGTGTGTGTGTGGTGCAATGAGATTAGAGATTTTCATACAGGCGTTGCGATTGAATGTTAAATGCTAAATGCGTACGCAAGAAAAGCCGCGGAAACATAATGCGTGAAA